GATACGTCGGCTATTTATATTAGTCTAACTCCGCTACTGGAGACTTCGCGAAGATGACTAAACGGCACTCCCCGCCAATCCAGATGTTTCGAGTGAATCAGGGGCAGACATTCGAGACGCGGTCCGGCTGTTTCCACTCGTCAGCGTTGCTTCGATCACGAATTGGTTGCCATGTGAAGGCCGCGTGCGTACACAGGCACAGGGTCGGATTAGGGATATCATGACATTGCCCCCTCCTTAAAAAATAGTTCCTCCTGAAACTAAAACTGAATGGTTGTATTTACAACTGGATCCTCTTTTACAATTTCCAGTTGCATGGAAGTAACAAGGCACAGTCTTCGTTATAACCTGAACGCTGGGAGAATGGCTGCAGACCAGTATTTCAACCTGGGTATCTTGAAAGATTACTTCCACCATGTTTCTAATAGTCCTCCAATTCAGCTGATTGCTCTCTATCTTTGGCACAGCTAGTTTTTGTACATTGGACTCCAGTACATGCTCCCTCAGACTGAGTAATGCTTCCCATACATCCTGATAGGTGGATCGATCTCGAAAGGTGTTCTTTGTTACCAAATAGAAAAGATAACGCGATCCATCTAGAAGTTTTAATGCTTTTCCAGGGACTGGTAACTGATCTTGAAGTTCTGGCAATCGACCAAACTTCTTCCGGAATATAGATGCCAGACCTCGAGCGTCGTAGATGTTGGCGGAAGTGCTATGGACCAGCGAGTAGTCTTTTGGGACCGTGAGCAGATCTTGTTGTTGCTCGGTTGTAACACCATGTCTTGCTTTTCCGGTACCTCCATATGCACCCATAAATTCTTCAAAGACAAGGTTAGGTATTTCTTGGAGCTGGTTTACTTCTTCTTCATAATCACCCTCAAATGGCGCCAGGCGGTTTTGGTGCACTACCCTTGGTTTATCGTTCGGGATCTTACTCATACGGTAAATGACATCATTGATTCTTTTCTTGATGAGATACGGACCTTCCCAAGACCTTTGAAGCTTCGGAGAATAACCCTTTTGTCTTTTTGGGTTATGGAGCCAGACTTTGTCGCCTTCCTTGAAACCTCCCTTCATGGCTTGGGTATCATATCGCTTCTTCATTCTGTCGCTGGCGGACCAATTCATGCATATCGTCCATTCTTTTTCGTAGCTGAATCACATAATCTTCACCAGCTACATCTTCTCCAGGTCGGCAGCCAAACTCAAGGTCGCACGGTAGTCTCATGTCACACCCAAACAGGACCTTTGCTGGTGTTTGGCCTGTTGATTCATTGACAGCGGATCTATAAGCCATTGCAAAGAGCGAAAGATACTGATCCCTATTCGCTGATGGTTTGAAACCACTTTTGACAGATATTTTCCAATGGTCTTATTCATTCGCTCTACAATTCCATCAGATTGTGGGTACAATGCTGTGGTTCAGGTTTTCTTCATGCCTAGCCTGTCACAGATTCCACGGAAGAGTTGGCTTTCAAAATTTCTGCCTTGGTCACTGTGGATCTCCAAGGGTACTCGAAATCGACAGATAAACTCTCTTATCAACATATCTGCAACAGTTGCGGCCTCTTGATTTGGAATGGCGTAGACTTCCACCCACTTCGTGAAATAATCCATAACCACCATCATGTATTTATTACCATTCTCGGTCATGGGGAATGTTCCAGCAATATCTAAGGCTATCCTCTCAAATGGGCTACCAACGTTGTATTGCTTCATGGGAGCTTTCCTTTTTCGCTGAGGTCCATTACTCATAGCACAGCTAGTACATTTCTTACACCAGTCCTTTACATCATCGGAACTATTCATCCAATAAAACCTTTCCCGAACTCTCTGAAGAGTTTTCCTAACACCGAGATGTCCTCCTGATGGACTGTCATGTAACTGACGAAGTACTTCGGCTACTCTACTCCTTGGAACGACTAACTGTCTTCTGTTCTCGGAACCATCATCATTTTCAAGTACTCGCTTTAATAAGCCATCTTCCAGGATAAAGGAGTCCCACTGAGCCAAATACGACTTAAGTTCTGGAGAGAGATTAGATAGCTCTTGCCAAGTAGGTCGACGATTTTCCTCTTTCTATTGCCGCATCTTCTTTAGGATGGTATCGTTCTCTTGTTCTTCCCTAATTTAAGCAGGGGCCCACTCATCGTTGACTACCGTTGTTCTTAGTAGTTCAGTTTCTTTGGATTCCGCTTTGTTGCAGTGGGAGCACTCTGCTGGACACGGTCTTCTAGAAAGAGAATCGGCATTTCTGTGGCTAATTCCAGATCTATGTTCGATCTTAAAGTCGTACTCCTGAAGTCGCTCAATCCATCTGGCGATTTGACCCTCCGGATTTTTGAACTGCATCAACCACTTAAGAGTAGCATGATCGGTACGGATTAAGAATTTCCTTCCGTATGGGTATTGGTAGAAGTGTTCCACATATTTCACAATTGCCAGGAGCTCTTCTCGTGACGCAGTAATTTCGCTCAGGTTTCGAGAGCACTTTACTAAAATAACCCATTACTCTTTCTTTTCCTTCTTAAATATGTGAAAGCACTCCTCCAATTCCCACATTACTGGCATCAGTATCCAGGATAAATTCTCCCTTTGGTAGTGGGTAGCCTAATATTGGCGCTGTTGTTAAATGCTTCTTTAAAGTTTCGAAGGCAGTTTGGCAGTCTTCGTCCCAGCAGAATTCTCTTGCTTCTTCTGTGAGTCGCGTTAGTGGTTTAGCAATATCTGTAAACTTCTTTATGAATCTTTGGTAGTACGTACACAGCCCCAGAAAAATTCTTATTTGGTGTTTATCCTTTGGTTGTGGCCACTCTTTGATAGAAGCGACTTTTTCCTTATCTACAGCCACGCCATCCTTGCTGACTACATGATTTTAAAATGTTAACCTCAAACATGTTCATAATTTTCTTAATACACTTTTTTAATATCTCTTTCAACAAGGAAGACATCGAACTTTTCCACAAGATTGGTCCACGCTGTATACAGGGTGTACCAATAAAAACTCCCAGGCCGGATATTTTGTTAAGAAATAGAGATATTTTAATTCTGTAAAAGCCAGTTCACAGAGCACTAAAAGAGCTTCAGTTTTAGATATAAATTGATTTTAAATAGGTCAATATGCAGATGGCGCTGCGCTCAATAATTATTTTTCGATGGGAGGAACTCTCTTGTGTAGCGCATCTTATAAAAAATGCATTTTTAAGCAAATTTTGTTCTATGAACTAATTCGATAAATCTAGCAATTTTTGATATACAGAGTGGGTCATTCAAAACAGTTTTATCCTGTTTTTCGGCATTAATCATTGTATTTTTGGAAAATGCTAAAACAGGTCGATTTTTATTCCAAATTAAAGACATTTATACAATATAGACATATGTCATGTGTCAACCCCCTCCCTTGTACTTCTCCACACCTTAATTTTAAATAGGTAATGTACCATGTATGGCTCATCATTGAAAAGGTAATTTAATGGGGGATTCAGAAATATTTCTGTAAATTACGTTACTTAAATTTTATCGCCCTCTAGCGGGATAAAAAACTACTACGTATTATAGAGTGTGATACTACAATGTGTAGTACATCATTAAAAAGGTAATTTTATGGGGAATTTAGAAATATGACTGTCCATTGTGATACTTTTAATTGTACCGCCCTCTATCGGGATAAAAAACTACGTATTTTAAAGTGTGACACCTTATTTGAAAGCAAATTTAATTACTAATTCAATGTACCACATAACATTAATTAATAACATAATATTAATATAAATATCCACATTGCTCTTGCAATAGTTTAAAAATTAGTCGTGCATTATTTTAAACATTATTGCTAACTTTATTTTGTTGCAAGTGCAATATGGAAATATTTATATTAATGTTATGTGGCGCATTGAATAAGTATTTAAATTAGATTTTAAATGAAGTGTCACACTTTGAAATACGTTACAGATTTTTTTATCCCGATAGAGGGCGCTAAAATTAAAAGTTTCGCAATAAACTGTCATATTTCTGACTTCTCCATAAAATTACCTTTTTAATGATGTGCCGTACATGGTACATTCCTTATTCAAAATTAAGGTTGGAGAAGTGGAAGGGAGGGGGTTGACACATGACAGATGTCTGTATTGCAAAAATGTGTTTAATTTAGAATAAAAATCGACCTGTTTTAGCATTTTCCAAAAATACAGTGATTAATGCCAAAAAACAGGCTGAAACTGTTTTGAATGACCTACTCTGTATATCAAAAATGGCTAGATTTATCGAATTAGTTCATAGAACAAAATTTACTTAAAAATGTATTTTTTACAAGATGCGCTACATAAGAAAGGTCCTCCCATCGAAAAATAATTATTGAGCGCAGCGCCATCTACATATTGACCTATTTAAAATCAATTTATATCTAAAACTGAAGATCTCTTAGCGCTCTATGAACTGGCTTTTACAGAATTAAAATATCTCTATTACTTACCAAAATATCCGGCCTGGGAGCTTTTATTGGTACACCCTGTATATTATGTTATCGCCCTTTAAAGATTGCAAAATTTAGGATATTTTACTTTAACATACTGTATCCTAAAAACTAGCCATAGTATTTAAGTGGATCCGAAAATAACAATGGTTATCCTAACATTGTTACCAATCAAAAAACAACTAAATTTACTGACAGTGATTTCCCCTTCAATCATTGACCTAATAATACATTTTCATAATATAAAATTCCTATAAACAATTCAGAATTTTTTGTTCATTTTCGTAACTAAGGATCTAAACATTATTGACGTATATCTCAAGAATAATAGAGGCATTTTCTCTCTCGAAAAGTCGTGTGTAGACTGATAAGTGGCCTTACCTTTTCAGACTATCTTTCTTTGAAAATAATGAAGAAAAATGACCTGTAGGACATAATAGAAAGGGATTGAGTGACATAGGATTTTAGGGTTTTACTTTCTTTTTTTTTTAGAAAAATGTTCTTAAAAGTGAAAACGTTGGGTATTGATAAAAATATTTTTATTTTCGTATAATAAAATTACATTATTAAAATAATACTTAAATATAAATATTAAAGGTCTATTCAAATTTGCTCTCCCATTCTTGTTGTTCTTTGCATTTTATTTCGGCCCATTTGGCAACATTTTCAGGAGAATTAGCTAAAAAGTAATAAAAGCATAGTATTATTGAAAAAATAGGCACACAATATGTAGTGAAACTGCAGTAAATGTAAATAACAAGTAGATTCATAAAATATATGTAGAATATTTCAATAAAACATGGCATAAATGATACTGCTGTTAGAATTAAAAAAAAAAAAAATGGTTAGCTTGATAAACTTATGTCTCTAAGACCTTCTATTTTCGTGTTAGCTTGGGAGGTATCTTTCTACGCTCCTGGCAAAAGGAATTAATTAATTAATTTATTTAGGTTACACCATCCAATAGTATAAAACCAATTACAGGATGGGCACAAAAATAATTACAATTACAGTATAATTTACATCATAAAAATAATAACAAAATATTAAATATTAATAATAGCAGAAATATATATTTCTGTATGCTTCTTTTTGAATAGTATTGACATGTTCAATAAAGTTTATCTTAGCGTCGAAAAGAAAGACATTTATTGATGTTAATATTGTTGACAGTGAAATTATACTCAATCGAATTTAGTTTACGAGTGAAGCTGATAGAATTACACTTAAAAATGTTTAGTGGTAAGTTGTTAGAATTACACCAAATGTTCAATTTATTTAGGTTCTCCTGCATAATCAGTCATCAATACTGAATATTGATTTAAACAATTTTAAATCATCGGCATAGAGTAGAGTATTACATGAAACGTTTTCAGTAATGTCATTTACAAAAATGGAAAATAAAAGTGGTCCTAGAACTGAACCTTGAGGGAAGAAGCTCTTATACAAATTGATTGAAAACCATGGTATTCAACTTTCAATTTACGATTACTTAAATATGATTCAAAGAAACGCAGAAAAGACGTAGTGAGTCCAACAATGGAAAGCTTATTCAGAAGTATACTATGATCGAGGCGATCAAAGGCTTTGGAAAAGTCAGTATATATAGCTTCACCCTGGCCACCCCTATCAAGGTTTTCCGCAACATATTGTGTAAAGCATATCATATTGGTATCTGTGGATCTGCCTGGAAAAAAGCCGGGCAGTGCCGTAGATATAATCGATTTTACATGAGCGAAAAGTATTTCATAAATGACATTTTCGAAAACTTTTCCAAAATTGTAAAGGATGGATACAGGTCTGTTATTTTCTATGATAGATTTGGATCCTTACTTAAAGATTGAAAAGATTTTAGATATTGTAGTGTGAGCCATTTCATTAGTCAGTCATGCTCTAATACTCCAAGTCCCTCTCTGTATTATTTGGCCTTTGAGGCTCAACTTGTCCGATTATCATACATAATTAAACCCCTAAGACTAAACCTATGTGACGACTATGGCGGGAGAGTTTTCGATTAATGTTCCAGAAAAGACGGGATAATGTTTCTAGAGAATTTGGTGAAGTTTCTAGAGAATTTGGCGACCTTTCTAGCTCATTCGCCAAACTTTTAAATTTGTATATAAATATTGGTGGAGAACGCAGTTAGTCAGTAGTTATATGGACAGTGCAGATAAATAGTAATTAGTAGATAGACAGTGGTGAATATAAATAGTGATCAGTTTAAAGACATTCGAAGTATATATAAATTAAAATAGTATTGTTTAAAATAAATAAGTGTTTAAATAAATTATTAATAAATAAACTGTTGTTTGAAAATAAACAAACATCACATTTTTGTCAAGAAGTGGAATAGTGTAAATAAATAGTGGACAATAATGGCTAAAAAACTGTGTGAATTAAAAGTGGCCGAGTTGCGTCGAGAATTAGAGGATCGTGATCTGGAGACTACAGAGAAGAAAGCAGAACTGGCAGAGAGGCTTAAAGAAGCACTGGAAAGTGAAGGTTTGGATCCGGAAACGTTTCTATTTTCGGATGATGCTTCTTCAATAATTTCTTCAGTTTCTTCCGATTTGGAAAACAAAATCTCCTCTTTAGTAACCAAAGTTTCGTCTGATATGACCTCTATGAAAACCGATATTTCTTCTAATATTTCTTCTTTGGAAAATAAAGTTTCTTCAGACATTTCTTCCTTAGAAGAAAAGGTGTCTTCTGATGTTTCTTCTGTGAAAAACGAAATCTCTTCTTTAGAAACTAAAGTTTCTTCTGAAATATCTTCTTCAAAAACCGAAATTTCCTCCGATTTAGAAAACAAAATCTCTTCTTTGAAAGATGAAATTTCTTCTGATATGTCTTCACTAAAAAATTAAATTTCTGCTGATGTGGAAAATAAGATGACTAAAGATGACTAAAGTGCCATGAGGTGGAGTCGAAGTTGAAATTGGAAGGAGCTGTAAACTCTCCTCGTGTTAAGGCCCCAACTTTCGACGGAAAGATGTCATGGACGAACTACCTTAAGCAGTTCGAAACAGCTGCCAGAGCAAACGAGTGGTCTGAACGAGAAAAGGCAATAAATTTGACAATCGCTCTTCGAAGGGACGCTTTGGATGTCCTTCAGACTATACCCGTGGAAGAGACAGATGATTTTGAACAACTCAAAAAGAGATTAAATATGAGATATGGCCACGAACACTTGGAGCATTTATACCAGTCACAATTGAAGAATCAGTGGTCATTTGATGACATTTTTACAAAATTCGGTCAATGTAAACATTATACAATAATAATTATAGCATAAAGGGAGGGTAATTTATAATGAATAACCCTGTTAGGTACCATAAATTTTCAGTAAAAAAAATTTAATTCGCACTTTTACGTAGATTAAAGAAAAATGTAATTTTGTGCGTTTTCTTGGTGCAGACATTTTGCGACACACTGTATATTCAAATCCAAAATGATGTATTTTCTTTTAACACATACCTAATAAAAATTTATTAGCAAAATTTAAATACTTGTTATTTTCGGTATATTTCTCCTTTAGACACACACATTTTTAGTTTCATTGTCAAAAGATTTAAATAAAATTACCGGACCTTATAATATTCTAGTATAATTCGATGATCCCGAGTGGCCATAGCAAAAAGACGAAATTTGAGCATGAAGATTTAGATGTTATTAACGTAAAATTAATGTTTTGAAATTAATTTAAGTTTTACCAATTTAGAAAATAAAATTAAATAATAAAAAAAAAGTATCCACTCGGGGGGTTTGAACTCGGTTCCCTTCGATTCGTAGACAAGTACTCTAAATTTTCGTGATGAAGACTTATGAAAAAGTTTTACTCTTTAACGCTGATAATCAGACTGCTTTCAGTTTCATTAAAATCTCAGTTTATTTCTAAATATAGACGAATATCTTGTGGAATGCTATTATTTATTGATTCAAGAATCACTAATTTTTATTTATATTTAATCTAAATAACTAAAAAAATATATACTGACAATTAATTTGACGAAATTGTCATTTATAAAGTTCTAACATCTGACCCCATCTGACGTAGAGGGCGTATCTCACCAGTAAATAAAATCGTTAGTTCAATGATCGTACCAATAGATGTCGGGCGCGATTGCCTCCAATAACTTTTACATGGCGATTATCCTACTATATAGTTCTTTATACAATGTTAACACGTTGATGGACAGTAGGAAAAAGTGGTGGTTGCAAAAAATGGCACTGGTACTTTTGAACAAATTAGGGCTCGGATTACCATATAAGGTATAGTAAACCGCTCAGAATTGAAAATAGTTCAAAAATTTCGATTTACAAGAATTTACACGTTGACTCAGATAAACGTCTCCCAAGATTTGAAAAGGAAAAATTGCTGTGACACCGATAGACGCCTTGTTAACATAGAGGTGTAGCCAGAGGGGAAGAAGCGGCCTCCTCCGAATCCCTAACATGTTATGGTAAATTTTTTTATGGCGCCCTAAAATCCTTCTTATTCAATTTATTGGCAAATAAAATATGTGGAAAAAAAGAAATCTCTCTACCTTTCTGGATGTGCCACTGAATAAAGCACCAAAAATATATTAAAAATTGTTTTATTCTCAACTAGGAGCTCAACCAAAAGGTGAAAAGTACAAACAAAAACACGGAGAAGATGTCACGTGCAACAAAATTATAACCATGTAAAAACGACGATATTATAATGTTATCGGTCTCAAATAAGGCAGAAACTATGCCCATTCCCATTTAATATGGGAAATGGAACGCCGACAAATGTCTTTTCGTTTATCGGCGATATTAATTTCAACGCCGGACGGCCTTATGTCATATTTGGCTATCCAGCGAAGACGCCGATCGACGTCACTGTCCATCAACGTGTTAAAGAAATGTCCGAAATTTTAATTTTATTAAGAGCTTTTGCCATATTACGTAGTGCAATGGCTTCATTTCAAACAAAAACTGTATTTCCCACACCAGATGATTAATAAAATGAGGTTTCAGAATGACGTTCCAAATATTTTACTCCTGTTCATTTCATGGCTTATAGATGCAAAGCTATTTGTCGAGGTAAAACAATAAACTGATAATAAAGAAGATATACAGGGTGTCCTTTAAAATGTGTCCCAAAATTCTCAGGCAGATTCCTTAACCAAAAAATGGAAAAAAAGTTCCTATAGACCTATGTCCTAAAGTGCCCCCTAAGCGAGCAACAGCCTCTCGAAATCATTTTTTTTATTTTGATTTTTTGAATTTTCTTAAAAATGGAAACAAATAAAAGAACCAAATTTTGGCTGTTAAATATGATCAATAATAGCGACCTTTTGACACCTTCAAAAAGAAATTATTTCGTCAGGGGTGTACTTGGGAATTTTTTGAAAATTTTGATTATTCATAACTTTTTTGTGTTTTTGGTAATGACTTATCCATATTTTTTTTTACATTCTACATTGAAAACTACGTCAAAAAGGAATACTTGTTTGATCTCGATTGGAGCAGCCGTTTCCGAGAAAACATCATCCAAAGATATTCGTCCACTTTAGCTTACTTTTCAATTTTCCTAAATTACCTCGGTGAATCTCGTAAATAAAAATAACTTTTTTAGCTCTCTCTAAATAATTGTAGTTCAAATGTCGTGGTGGGACTATTTTTATTTAATAATAAGAAACGGTTTAAAAA